TCATCACGTAACTCCAATACGAATAATTTTTCATCCAACCTCACACTCACAGATTGAAGTGATTTGTCTTTTTCAGTAGCCATAACTAAAAAAAAAAAGGAAAACCAGATCGTAGAAGAAGGGAAAACGAAATACCAGATTGTAGAAATTGAATGAAAACCCTCTCAAAATCGTCTCTTTTCTAAAAAAAAAAACTGTGTTTGAGATAAAACCTCGTCCCATAAAATTTGGCTCTGATACCATGTTAAACAATCCAAAAAATAAAGAAAAGAAAGAAGAGGCTAGGGTTTCATTAATTCTACATAATGCAATTGAACACAAAAAGATAATTTAACTTAAAAATAAAGAGACTATATATAGGCTAAACAAATGAAATTGAAAAGACAATTCTACCCTTAATAAAGAATAAAATAAAACAACCATATATTTCTTAACATCTCCAACCATCGGCCAAACGTTCTTCCTCTCCCGCCATTGTAGACCACTGCTTCACAACGTTTATAGCGCAGAAGTGTGTGAGAAGCCACAATGCGGCGTTGAGAGAAACTACACTAGTTGCCTCGCCCCATCACGTTGCTTGTATCTTCTTCGATAGTGACGTCGTGGTCCGTACAATCAGAGGATGTTTCAAAGGAAAGTGGGGAGGCTGCAGCTACATCTGCATAGGAGAAGTTGATCGAGATAGTGGAGTTTTCGAGTTTGGAGGTGACTTACGATAAATCTGTGGAGATAAATCAGGCGGTGGATTTCCTGTTCGCCGGGTTAATCGGGAGGCAAGGTTGGTGTTTGCCAAAGTGAATCTGTGGAAGTGAATCAGGCAGTGAGCGATGGTGGTGTGGCGTGATCTGTGATGATGGTGCCGTCGTGGTGGTTTTTGTTGGATTTGTTGGTTTTTGGAGTGGTTATGATTTTTTATGTTTTGGTGTTGGGGTAATTTTTGTTGGCGGTGACGGTGTCAATGTTGTTGTTGCTGGTGGTAGTGGTAGTGGTAGTGATGTTGGTGGCAATTGTGTTGATAGTGCGGCAGGGTGGAAAGAAGAGAGTTTGTGACCAAACTATTTATTTGTGACTAACGATTTGGTTATCTATTTGGTTGTGACCTAAAAATTATATAATTTGTGATCAACTAATTTGAAAATTTGTAACCGACGAATAAACTGTAACCTATAAATTTTTTGATTTGTGACCGTGAAATAATTTGTCACCAATAAATAAATTGTGATCTATAAGTATGTAATTGTGATTATTGCTTGTATAATTGTACCTTAATATATATATTAATGAATAAAATATTTTAACTATTTATTTATCACACGAGTTTTGAATTTTGAAACATAAAACCTGAAAATTAAATTGGTCATAGTTAATACATGAGTTGTGAATTTTTTCCCTTTATTTTATTCATTTTTTTAGTTTTTTTCCATTCTAATTCATTTTTCAAATGGATATCAATCAATTAGTAATAAATAAAAAAATATTAGATCAGTGGAGTATTTAACTTTTCCTTCTAACAAATTAAGCAGTTAACATTTTAGAAATTTAATAATTCAAAATTTTCAAATTTTTTTTATAATTCCTTTTGCATTTATGATATTTTCTCAAAATTATGATAATTTAAACGACATGTTCTCTTTTTTTATTGAGATAAAAAAATTAACTGATATTAAAAAAATTTATATCGGACGTTTAAGAATTTAATTAATTCAAAAAAAATCATAATTTTGTTTATATTTTTTACAACCATGATGCTATTCCTAAATTTACAGTAATTTAAACGATATATTCTTTTTTATCACGATATGAAGAAAGTGAATCGTTCACTTGATTTTTACTAAGAAAATATAATCATTATCTTTCAATTAACACTAGTCTTTCACCCGTGCGATGCACGGTGCGATGCATAA